TCACTGCACGCCCAGAAGGCCATCAACGGCTCATTATCTCTGCATACAGGTAAAGCATTTTCCTTTCCGGCTTTGGCACCTGCAAAGATCTTCTTACCCTTCACTGAACATGGCCAGACATCCACATCCATAAAATAAGACCTACCTCCAGGCACTGCTTTATTCATGGATTGCATTTTTAATCTCTTTTTATGTCTGACCAGATTCCGAGGTGGGTATCAAAAGCAGGAGAGTAAATAATTCAGAAGGAGTGAGCAAAGGAGGGTGAAGTTTCTTTGCTTCATCTCCCCACCAGGTCTCAATGTGGAGCGGCAATGGCTGGTACAGGTTTGCAGTTCCGCAATGGCGGCTTGGGGGCTCAAAATAATTTCATGAGAGGTAGACAAGGGGTGTCCTCCTTCTTTCCGTCCATGCCTCCAGGGAAAATGACAAGTCAGGGAACAAAGAAAGTAAGCAGACCCAGAAGAAGAGGGAGAGACAATATATCAAAGATGGGCTACAACGCCATCAAATAACGATGGTTGAAGCCTCCAGAAAAGCAAGAGCCAGGACTTGTAGCGTTCTTGACACCCAAAATGGTAAAAGGAGGAGGAAGGAGGAGGAGGAGAAGGAGGAAGAGAAGGAGGGGAGGAGGACAGGAGGAGGAGAGGAGGAGGAAGAGGAAAAGGAGAAGGAGGAGGAAGAGGAAGAGGAAAAGGAAGAGGAGGAGGAGAAGGAGGAGAGGAGAAGGATGGGAGGAGGAGGAGGAGGGGAGAAGGTGGAAGAGAAGGAGGAAGAGAGAAGGAGGAGGAGGGGAGGAAGAAGAGAAGGAAGAGGTGGAGGAAGAGGAGGAGGGGAGGAGGAAACAAACAGGTAGTAGGCCCTCCCACCCTCCCCCCTCTTACTCCTTACTCCATTTTCACTTAACCAACCACAACAACACAACAATCTCTGCAGCAGCTAGTGGCTTATTTGCCAAACTTGAAAGGGTTCAACACAATGGGGTCACGGCAAGCTTGTTGAGCTTCACCGTAGAACCTTGAGAAGAACCCCAGAATCGAAGACTCTGGAACCCAGAGCTTCTCCATTCTATTTTGATTGATAACTCTGCAATCCTCACTTCAGCTCCGCTGCCTTGTTTACACCCTTTCTGCTACGGATCAACAAGCCTCCAATGCTTTGTTCTGGTCCAGAAATTGTTGGGTGACTGTAGCCATATCTTTGTGGAGCAGTGATTGGAGAAGAAGATCCTTCTGCAAGATCTTTTGAAAGCTAGGATGCTGCTCAGGAACACAGTGGCATCAAATCCTAGGGTTGGAAGGCACCTTTTTTTTTATTTCTATTTATTTGATTTGTTAATTGCTTACAAGATAATAGGTATAAATATAAACATGAGTAAGAATACAGGAAATAGATACGAATAAATGGGGACAATAGGACAGGGACAGTAGGCACGATTGTGTGCTTATGCACGCCCCTTACAGACCTCTTAGGAATGGGGTGAGGTCAATAGTAGTTAGTTTGAGGGGAAAGGAGTGGGGGTTAAAGGATGTAACAACAGAGTCAGGTAGTGCATTCTAGGCATTGACCCCTGTTGCTGAAGTTGTACTTTCTGCAATCAAGTTTGGAGTGGTTTACATTGAGTTTGTATCTGTTGTGTGCTCTTGTATTGTTACAGACTGGTAGGATATTGTAGCAGATAATTTTGTGTACTACGCTTAGGTCCAACCGTAGGCGGCGTAGTTCTAGGCTATCCAAGCCCAAAATCTCAAGCCTGGTGGTGTAGGGTATTCTGTTGCAAGCAGAAGAGTGGAGGACTCTTCTTGTGAAATACTTCTGGACTCACTCAATTGTATTAATGTCCGAATACAGTGCGGATTCTAGATAGCTGAGCTATATTTGAGTATTGGTCTAGCAAAGATTTTGTATGCCCTAGTTAGCAATGCAATGTTACTGGAGGAGAAGCTTCCTAAGATTGGAGGTCTTCTAGTCCAATTCTTTCCCTAAGGCAGGAGACCGTCTTGCATCTTGGACAAATGGCTGTCCAATTTTATTCTTGAAGACCTCCAGTGATGGGGCTGCTGCAGCCTGAGGACTTCTCCAGAAGGCTTCCTCCATGCTTTCCTTTCTTATACTCTCTTGAATTCATGATCATTGCAAACTCTTCACCAACTCTCCAATGCGGCAGTAGAGGGAGCTCTGGCCACAGGGATGAATTTGGACGAGTTGCTAAGGTCGAGAGACGCCAACTGAAGAACTTCTTCATCTCGCAAAGTTCTCTCCGGGGAGAGCTCACGTTGATGTTAAGTGTCCTAGCGAGGGAATAAATCATTGCCCAATGGCCAAATTGATCTTTTTCCCTACATGAACCGGGTTCAGATCTGAAGACCTCGGTGGCCAGGGAGCGGTGTTTAAGAGGGTTGAGTTAAAAGGCAAACTTTCAAACTTGCCGGTGAGGTCTGAACCTTGTGCGTCATAACCCATCTTGGGAGAACAGGTTAGATTAACAGAATAAAAGAGTTGGAAGGGACCTTGGAGGTCTTGAAATTCCACTGATTAATTGTTCTCATTGTCATGAAATTTCTCCTTAGTTCTAGATTGCTTCTTTCCTTGTTTAGTTTCCATCCATTTCTTCTTGTCCTACCCTCTGGTTCTTCAGAAAACAGCTTGACCCCCCCTTCTTCTTTCTGGAAGCCCCTTAGATATTGGAAGACTGCTATCATGTTACCCCTGGTCCTTCTTTTCATTAAACTAGACATATCCAACATGTGTCCAGCACATCTCCTGAAACCACAACGCTGACCAATCCTCTCCAAATCATGATTTGTAACCCTACAAACAAAACTCACCAAACAACCCAACAAGCTAGAACGCTCGGTTTGGACCCCAAGCAAACCAAAGCTCTGTCTGGAGGTGGAAGGAACCAAGACATCTCGCCACCTTAAATCATAATGGAGACCAAATTTGAGAGCATTTGCATCCAACACACATTAAAAGGCATCAGTCAGGTGGTTATACTATCATTGGAGAGAAGAGCCTCCTTCGTCATTCATCAAAAGAGCAGTGATGATGTGAATGATTTAATTTCCTACCTCCAGGATAAATTCCTTTTGTTCCACTTGGTAACTCCTTGGCTATTCCGCCTCTTCCTTGTCTTTGATTCTGCAAGATCTGGCAAAGAGCAACGAGGCGTCTTCATCAGTTTGAAGGTGGCTTCATCTACAGATCCCCCCCAAAAGACCCCAAAGAAAGTGTTAAGGTCTTGGGATTTAAGAGCCAACCAGCGGTGAAGCTGATGCAATAGAGGGCTGATGCAGTGAAGATGAATCAGCATTAGTACTGCCCTTTAAGACTGGGGATGGGTTCTATCCCTTTAAGAGGTGTTTATATAAAGGCAGCCATTAGAGGGCGTTCTCTCTCTCCTTGTGTCTGGTATCCATTGCAGAGTTCTCTGTGTAGAGTTAAGACGAAGAAAGATTGCTTGTAAGGTATTTTGCCTACCACATATATTTCTGTATATAACTGTTGTATATAAATCACTGTTAAATGTCTAACTCTGTGTGCTGTGTTTAGCTCCTGAGTTGTCTCATAATAGTAGTTATGCTGCAAACACTCTGACAGAAAGAATATTGGATCGTCCACAATTTTTATAGACAACGATCATAATATCCCACCTGGGGTTTTAAAAAAACAAACTTATACTAAAGTAACAGTAGAAGCCTTTGAGATATTTTGTAGATGGAGCACCCATCATTTCTGGAAGTAAGCGGTTCCAGTGTTTAATTGTTCTCACTGTCAGGAAATTTCTCCTTATCTCTACATTGGATTTCTCTTTTATTTTCTTCCTCCTGCCCTGCCCTCAGGGGCTTTGAAGAATAGGTTGTCCCCAGTGGTGGGATTCAATTTTGTTTTACTACTGGTTCTGTGGGCATGACTTAGTGGGTGTAGCAGGGGAAGGATACTATAAAATCTCCAGTCAGAGGTGGTATTGGGCTGGTTCTCCAAAATACTCAACATTTCCACTACTGGTTCTCCAGACCTGGTCAGAACCTGCTGAATACCACCTCTGGTTTTGTCCCCCTCTTTTTTTTCTGGCAGCCCCTCAAATATTGAAAGGCTACTATCATGTCTCCCCTAGTATTTCTCTTTGTTAGAGTAGACACTTTCACCGTTCATCAAATGTTTCTAGTTTTTGTTAAGTCATCCCTCTCCCCCCCCCCCGATTTTCAAAAGGGGGGGACGAAAATCTGCCTAATTTTCCTTCCTCCATTTATGCCTCCTCTGGCCCTCACAAGCTAAAATCCCAAAAAATCAAATAAACCTTTACTCTTCCTGCAGCGAGAAAGAAAATAGAAAATAGAAAAGCAATCCAGAACGGCAAAGCAATCCAGAACGGTACTTCAAGAGGGCTTATGTTAAGAACAGAACTGATTTTTTTTCCCAAGAAAAAAAAACAACAACCCCAAAATGGGGGGGAAAAATAACTTTTGCAAAATGTTCTTTCCATTAACCTTTCCAAAGGAAGAAACTGCATGATCGATTTTGAACGTGAAGTGGCGTGCCTTTTCTATCTTCAACCCTTGGAGTGGATGCGTTTGAAAAAAAGAAGAATAAAAATGAAAACCAACCGTTCCTTTGTTTGGCTCCCAGGCAACTTGGAACATTTAATAAGATGGGAAAGGAAAAGACAAGAAAAGAATAATAATAATAATAATGACGTCTCCTTAATTAAGGAGCAAGGCGACAAGAGCTCTGGCAAAGGGCTGCTAGAGGCCGGGGCAAAGAGCTTTGAAGAGCGCTGCCAGAAAAGAAGGGAGGGGCTGCGGAGTCCTTAAGGAGCCAATCAGCAGCCCCACCCTCCTTGTTTGCAAGAGGGAGGGGCTCTCTAATGAGCAGAAGGCCATATGAGGACAGAGGATGGCATGGGCGATGGCAAAGCAGGCCAGTTTCACAGGCAGGGCAATACGACTTCTTGACATTCATGCTGGCAAGGGGGCGGGGGTGATCTTATATAAGGGTGTTTTCCTTTCCTCGGTGCTCTCTGAACTTGGCAGTTTTCTTGCAGACATTTCATTACCCGAATAGGTAACATCATCAGTGCTAGAAGGGAGGGAGTTGTGGAGAGGAAGAGGAAGAGGGGGGGGGGGGGGGGGGGGGAGGAGGAAGAGGAGGGGAGGAGGAGGAGGAGGAGGGTCCTCAGTGGTCTCTGAAGTTGGAGGTTTTCTTGCAGACGTTTCATTGTCAAATTAGGTAACATCATCAGTGCTAGCATTACCTAGTTTGCTAACGAAACATGTGCAACCCCATGGTTCTCATTCCATTGCAACCTAAGGGTGGAGAAAATGCTGGAGGATTTGAATCTAGTGAGTGCAGGACTTCAATCCTAGAGTTGGCAGTCACTGGTTTTCTTCCTGACAAAGAGCGTTTCTGCCATAAATATATCTTATCAGAACGGTGCCCTTGAATCTCTGGCTTTAAGCCTTCAATTTCTGAGATTGGTCCGGGAAAGCCCCAAAACGCATCCATGAATTATGGCCCATCCTTCAACTCTCCAGCACAGAATGTTCTTCCCAGAAGATATAGGGAGGCCAGAGATGGTATTCCAGCAGGTTCTGACCCGTTCTGGAGAACCAGTAATGGAAATTTTGAGTAGTTCAGGAGAACCGGCAAATCCCACCTCTGACTGGCCCCGTCAACCCCATTTCTTCTCTGCCTCCCATTGAGTCCCAGCTGATCGGCTGAGTCTCCTTTGGTTGCCCTGCACAGGAGAATGGAGCTGGAAAGTAGGTTAGTGGGGTAGGGAGGGAATGGGGATTTTGCAGTATATCCTTCCCCTGCCACGCCCACCAAGCCATGCCCACCAAGCCAAGCCACACCACGGCCAGCAAGCCACGGCCACAGAACCGGTAGTAAAAAAAAAATGGAATCCCACCACTGGAAGGAAGACAGGAACGAAAGGAGAAGGAAGAGAGAAACAAAAGGGAAGAAGGAGAGGAAGAAGGGGGAAGGAAGAGAGGAACAAAAGGGGAAGAAGGAGAGGAAGAAGGGGGAAGGAAGAGAGGAACAAAAGGGGAAGAAGGAGAGGAAGGAAGGGGGAAGGAAGAGAGGAACAAAGGGAAGGAATCAGAGGTGGTATTCAGTTGGTTCTGGAGAACCGGTAGTGGAAATTTTGAGTAGTTCAGAGAACCGGCAAATCCCACCTCTGACTGGTCCCACCCCCATCTCTTCTCTGCCTCCCGAGTCCCAGCTGATCGGCTGGGTCTTCTTTGGTTGCCCTGCACAGGAGAATGGAGCTGGAAAGCAGGTTAGAGGGATGGGGAGGGAAGGGGGATTTTGCAGTATCCTTCCCCTGCCCACCAAGCCATGCCCACAGAACTGGTAGTAAAACTTTTTGAATCCCACCACCAAGGGAGACTTGTCCCATCAAAGCGGTAGCCTTTACCTTCACCTGGAATAGAAAACGGAACTATGTCTCCCAACCCATTCCTGGTACTTCACTGACCTAGAATGCCGGTGGCTTCAAGTCCTCCAAACTGTTGCATCACCACGATGGCTTTGGTGAGCTCTTCTTGGGTCTGCAACTGTCCGGTGATGGGATCCGGTGGGGGCAGGTAGCCAAACTTGGTCAGCCAATCCTACGGGGAATGAAAAGAAGGAGAAAGAAAGAAAGAAGATTCAGAAAGTCTTTCTGATCCTGCTTCATCTAGAACAAGGGTCTTCAAACTTGGCAAGTTTAAGACTCCCAGAATTCCTGAACTAACAAGACTGGAGGAGGAATTCTGGGTGTTGAAGTCCACCAGTCTTAAAGCTGTCAAGTTTGGAGACCCCTGATCCAGAACATAGAATAATAGGGTTGGGAGGGATCTAGGAAGTTTTCTAGTCCAACCCCCTGCTCAAGCAGAACAAAAACAGAACAGAATAATAGAGTTAAAAGGGACCTTGGAGGTCTCAACCAACCTCCTGCTCAAGTAGGAGATACTATACCATTCCGGACAAGTCCAATGTTTTCTTGAAAACCTCCAGTGATGGAGCATCCACAGCTTCTGGAGGCAAGCCGTTCCAATAGTTAATTGTTCTCACATTAAAGAATTCTCTCCTTAGCTCTGGATTGGATTGTCAACTCGTAAATCATTCCTATGTCTGCTTCCGAGTTGCCATAAGAAGGGGGGGGGAGGCATGAAGGAGCAGTGTGGCAGATGAAGGCCAGGAGTACATTCCACACTTATCTTGTGAAGATTGTAGCCTAGGCTACTGGATTATTGCAGGCATATACTATTATATGCCCGCAATAATCCTTCATTGGAGAGTGTGATTGATGACACCCAGCCCGGAGAATGTGTTTCATTGGAGAATCTGATTTATGACACCTCCAGGGAGGGTGGGGGCAAACAGGATCATAGGTGATAGTAAATTATGTGTCTCAGAGTTGGCTTTATATGGGTTAGTGCTGGACATGTTGCTCCTAATAAATCTTTGGGATTCTTTTGAACTTGGCTTGAGGCTCGTGATTTAATTAGGGCAATCGTCGGAACCCTGACATGGATCTCCATCCTTTGCTTCTTTGTCCTGTCTTCAGGTGCCGTGGAGAATAGGTTGACCTCCTCTATTCTGTGACAGACCCTCAAATATTTAAAGACTACTATCATGTCACCCTTAACCTTTTTCCTCATTAGACTAAATGGATCTTGTTCCCTCAATCATTCATCATATGGTTTATTCTATCTAGAACATGGCACTTAAGAGACGCTTGAGCTATATATTACATATATATGTAATGGCATGTGTACATCAGTGGTGGGATTCAAAAACTTTTACTACTGGTTTTGTGGGCGTGGCTCGGTGGGCGTGGCCATGTGACTAGGTGGGTGTGGCTTCTTTTGCAGTCCCCACCCATTTTGGGAGCTTCCTAGCCTCAGAGGAGCCTCTGGGGGGCGTTTTTGCTCTCCTAAGGCTCCTCTGGGGCTCTGGAAGGCAAAAAATGGAGGGAGGGGCTGAGGTCCCAGCAAGACTGACAGAATCCCAGCACAGCTGATCGTATCTACAGCTGATTGTCGGGAGAGAGAGAGAAAAACGAAAGAAATACCTTAGGCGAATGTCAGGCAGGCAGGCGGGTCGGGCAGGAGGGCAACCGGGTGGGGGGCGTGGCCAGCCAGAACTTACTACTGGTTCGGCGACCCACGCCAAATTCTTGCTACTGGTTCACCCGATCCGGTGCGAACCGGCTGAATACCACCCTTGGTGTACATGTGTGTTATGTACATGCATGGCTAGATATATATTTTCTTTTGAGAGCAGGCAATAGAATTTCATTTTTAATGTGGGCCAGTATTCCCACAGTAAAAAATGAGACTAAAGGTTATCTTGTCTTGTCTTGACTTACCCTTTCATTTCCTATCCTATCCTTTCCTATCCTATCTTATCCTATCCTGACTTGATTGGACCTCTCCTATCCTATTATCTTATCATCTTATCCTATCCTACCCTATAAAAGGGACGTGGCGGCTCAGTGGCTAAGACACTGAGTATGTTGATCAGAAAGGTTGGCAGTTCGAATCCCTAGCGCTGCATAACAGAGTGAGCTCCCATTACTTGTCCCAGCTTCTGCCAACCTAGCAGTTCGAATTCACGTAAAAATGCAAGTAGAAAAATAGGAACCACCTTTAGTGGGAAGGTAACAGCGTTCTGTGCACCTTTGACATTTAGTCATGGCAGCCACATTACCACAGAGACGTCTTCGGACAGCGCTGGCTCTTCAGCTTTTTAATGGAGATGAGCACCGCCCCCTAGAGCCAGAAATGACTAGCATGTATGTGCGAGGGGAACCTTTACTTTTACCTATCCTATCCCATCCTGACTTGATTTGACCTATCCTATCCTATCCTATCCTATCATCTGGTCTCACTCATTTACATATCCACACCCAGCTCCCCCTAAATGGCCTGTTCCTGCCTAACAAATGGACGTGTCAAGGCAGATCTGTGTACATTACTTTAGGTAATAAAATCCAATGACCTTCATGCGTTCCAGGACTGACATTTAATTTTCTCAACCAACTAAGAAAACATTTCGGATTACGGTGCAGTGCACGCCTCCATCTTTGATTTTCTACTTTGTCGGACCTGGCAGCTCATCAATTTGGGAATTCAATGGAGGGTAAGGAAAGATCTTAATACCAGCCATAGCTACTCCATGCTGAGCGGACAAAAGGGGGTTCTTTAGCAAATGAGAAAATGCCGTACTTAGAAAGGAGGGAAAATTGAGACAACACAAAGGATCGATTTGCAGACACACCAAGAATCAAAAGGGCTCCTTCACACCATGCTTAAATTGTCTTAGATCCTGTTTCAGGCTATTTACGGTTGCACGGAGTTGCTAATCATCCATAATAGTAATGACTAGAATGCAGAAGCAACATTTGCACGTCTAATGGAAGTTTTGCAGGCACCTCGGTCATCGCCATGACTACCTATTCAGCCTGGATGGAAAAAGAATCGGACAGGATAGACAGGTGACAATCAGAACATTGGACTAGAACTGGAGCCAGGCTGCCACTCAACCGCAACCTTGGTTATCTTCCCTGCTTAGGAAATCTCGTACGTGTGATGGAAGAGTATGGTGCAACTCTAAGCTCAGATCGCTTCTCAGAACAAGGAGCCTCACTCCCTTTTTAGATCTCCTGGTCAGCATTTGACTATCATCCCATAAGATTAACAGAATAACACAGTTGGAAGGGACCTTGGGGGTCTTTTAGTCCATTCCTCTGCTCAGGCAGGAAACCATATATCATGCCGGACAAATGGCTGCCCAATCTCTTCTTGAAAACCTCCAGAGAGGTTTGTTCTTTGTATGTTTTAGCCTCCAGTCTCCTAAAAACTCAGAGGTTGAGTCCTATGGTAGAAGGTAGTCTGGATTCCCAGGGAATGCGTTCCAGAGAAATAAGAGACAGTGAACTTTGGCAACAGTGGTGAATATCTGTAACTTGGGTATAGGATGAGGGGTGAAGGTTCATTCTCCAAGCTTGTGGGTTGGTTTCCGAATGTTTGCCAGGCTACATAACTTCTTCACAGAGTTTAGATAATATTAGCGTCTCTTCCCTAGTAATTCTCAGAATATATCTTTAATGATGCTGGTAGTTGCTTGAATTTGGCAAGACTGATGTCAGTGCAGGAGAAGAGTAAGCAGAAGGGTGGAGGGTGGAGGGTGGAGCAGAATGCATCACCAGTTTAGAATCTTTGCTTTGCCACAAGAGATCCAAGTCCACCCCCCCTCCTTGAATTCCATTGACTCTTATCTAGCATCAGTGTAGTGCCAACCAGCAGTTGACTAGGTTCTTGTGTATAGACTTCAATCAATCATTTATGCTGCAATCTAAACAAATGGTCCTGATTCTTTGCGTCTGTTGGTCAGACTCAAAAAACCAAGACAACATGCAGTTACGTCTAAGCAGTTTCCTTTGTTTCTCGCCTATAGACAGAATCTTGCCAACCTAAACCAACTACATTATATGCATTACTAAAGATGTACTCTGAGAACGTCTACACAGGAGCCTTAACTCTCTCCCATCCAAACTTTGCTGTCTGTTCTTCCTTCCTTCCTTCCTTCCTTCCTTCCTTCCTTCCTTCCTTCCTT